AAAGTGCTGAGGTCCAGGGTTCCTTCATACTATCAAAAGGATCATAATTGATTCTCTTCATATCCAAGTGATGAGGGGTCATGCCTTCCCACAGATCGGGGGTAGAGGGCAAAGGGACATAGCCCACAACTTTTGGGAAGGTGTGAGTGGACCTGACAGTCAGAAAGCAGTGGGAGGTGGCAGCTAGGTGGCACAGTGGATAGAGCACCAGCCCTGGATTCAGGAGGACCTAGGTTCAAATTCGGCCTCAGACACGTAACACTGTGTGACCCTGGGCAAGTCACTTAACTCCCATTGCCCCCCCCAAGATAAAACCAGAAAGCAGTGGGAGCTCTAGATTCCATCTCACATGGGTGGGAAGAAGGTGGTTCAGTGTCCACATGGAAGCAATGACAGAAAAGGAATCATTAGTAGGAAGCTTGAAGAGATCTCTCTGAAGCACCTGCCCTATTAGGCCTTCCATTAGCATAGATCAGACCTTGTCCACACCAAGCCTTCACTTCCCTCATTCATAATAAATCCCCAGTGGATTATGTTGGTTGTTCTTCCCCAAACTCCTTGCACATTTGTTTCTTCATCTTGAGATCTAGGTAACAACTCTGAAATCTGATCAGTTGTATAAGTCCCAGTGACTGGGCTATTCTCCCACCACATTTTTAAATATAAGCAGCACTGGTTTTGTTTGCCACCACATCACATTGCCAATTCCTTTTCAATGTGCAGCTTATTATCTCAAGCCTGCTTCTTCTAGCACCCATCTACCACCCAACAAAGCATCTGTTACTCTGAATCTCTTTCCCCAGAAGTATTTGTTTAGGATTTTTTTAAAGTTGATTTGTCCTCTGTTGACCTTAGGATATTTCATAACCTTTCCCACTCCCACCTTTCCAGTTTTCTTATACTTTACATCCCACCTCTCCCCATGCTCTCTTTGATCCTCAGACACTGGCCTCATTGCTGTGCCTTGAACAAGATCTCCCAACTCCAGGCATTTTCACTGGCTGTCCCCCATGTGTAGAATGCTTTCCTTCTCCATTTCCATCTCCTGGCTTCCTTTAAGTCCCAGCTAAAATTGTACAGAAAGTCTTTCCTTGACCTCTCTTAATTTTAGTCCTTTACCTCTGTTGATTATTTCTAATTTATTTTGTAGACAGCTTGTTTGTACATAGTTACTTGCATGTCATCTTTTCCATTAGATTATAAGCATCTTGAGAACAGGGGCTGTCTTTTACCTTTCTTTGTATTCCCAACACTGAACATGGTGTCTGGGTGTGGGTGTTTAATAAATATTTATTGACAATCTTTTATATTTCTCCTGCTTTACTGACTTATTTTAGTAGATTAAGAAAATATATGTTTTTGGTCACAAAATCTGTAGTATTTATAGGCAAAAATTATACTATCAGAATAGATTTCATCTATTAGAGATGTTTTATTTAATATGTGTTTATTGTAATTGTCAGTAATCCAAAGAAGAATGTTTTCTTGCATTCCCTGGCTGAATGCTGTATAGAGTTGTATTAAAAGCTCATCTTTGGAGATAATGGAAAGAATAGACTATTTAAATCCACAAATAATCCAAAAATACCCACAACTATTATCTTCAAACTCTTCCCTAACTATAATGACAAATGAGTCTGGATGAACCAGTTTGAGCTATACCTCCTGCCTCATTTGCAAAGCATTATGGTGCATAATGGTACTTCTGGTATAAGTTCCCAATGAGTCATGAAATAACTGACAGATATAGCAAGAAGAGATATGTCCTAAGTTGAATAGTAGCCAGTTGATTCTTCTCACCAGAGTAAGGAAGAAGAGGGAATGAAGGAAGGAAGGAAGGAAGGAAGGAAGGAAGGAAGGAAGGAAGGAAGGGAGGAGGAAGGAAGGAAGGAAGAAAGGAAGGAAGGAAAGGAGGGAAGGAGGGAGGGAAGGAGGGAGGGAGGAGGGAGGAGGGAGGAGAGGAAGGAAGGAAGGGAAGGAAGGAAGGAAGGAAGGAAGGAAGGAAGGAAAGGAGGGAAGGAGGGAGGAAGGAAGGAAGGAAGGAGGGAGGAAGGAAGGAAGGAAGGAAGGAAGGAAGGAAGGAAGGAAGGAAGGAAGGGGGAGGAAGGAAGGAAGGAAGGAAGGAGGAGGAAGGAAGGAAGGAAGGAAGGAAGAAGGAAGGAAGGAAGGAAGGAAGAGGGAGGAAGGAAGGAAGGAAGGAAGGAAGGAAGGAAGGAAGGAAGGAAGGAAGATATGTCACAAGTTGGATGGTTAGTTGATTCTTCTCATTAGAGGAAGGAAGCACTTATTAAGCACCTACTAAATGCCAGACACTGTACTAGGGCTTTACAAATATTATCTCATTTGATTATCACAACAACCCTAGGAGGTCGGTGCTTTTATCATCCCCATTTTAGTTGAGGACACTGAGGCAGACAAAGGCTAAGTGACTTGCCCAAGGTCACCCAGCTAGTAAGTATCTGAGGATGGATTTGAACTCAGGTTTTCCTGACTCCAGGTCCAGCATTCTATCTACTGCCCCACCTAGCTACCTCTAGTTTCCATTACTAATGTTCAGAGCTTTGTCCCAGTTTCCTGGAAGTGAGATGGTAGCCTTTCCTTTTCATACCTACCACTTCCCCCAACATTTGCCTTGTGGTCTTCTAATAGCATATATCACAGTCACACACTCAGGACCCATCATTGTTGAGGCCCCTGAGGTCTATTTCCCTATTCCCCCCAACCCTCCCCAAGCTCTGTAAAGTCAAGAGGCCAAGATTTTAGGAGTTAGGCTATCAGATCTTCTGGTGTGATTTTACCCACCTTAAGACTGTCCTCTATTCCCATCCCTCCCAAAATGAATTTACTGCAAGTATAAATGCAGATAATTATAGATCTGTTTCTCACAAATCCACAACAACTAGAAGACAGCCATCACCTTTAGCTAACAATACTTATGCCTTTCAACTTCATAGGATCATAGGTATAAAGCTGAAAGAAACCTTAGAAGTCACTGAGTCCAATCCCTTCATTTACAGAGGAGGAAAGTGAGAAGTTAAGTGGCTTACCCTTTCAAACAGGTAGTAAATGTCCGAGTCAGGATTCAAACTCAGGGCATCCTCACTCTAAGTGCTGTGTTCTATCCATTGGGTAACTTGCTTATACCTACTTTCCTGTAGGTTGATGGATCCATGATTTGCTTTCAAACTGACTTCTTTCCTTTTAGGCTTTCAAATGGAGCCATCCAAGAGTTAGCTTAGACCTTAGCAACCCCTGAAACATCAGGGCATTTAACAATGGTTTCTCTAAGCTCAAAGTCTCCGAGATTACTAGAGATGGAGTATATGTGGTAGATAGCACATTTCCAAGGTTTTTTTCCTGCCCACTTTAACAATTTGAAAGCATTTTATTTTGGTCTAAAGGTACCAGTTCCCAAACTCTTAACTCAGTGCAAATTTGGTAAGAAAGTCCTATCTCTAAAGAATCATATCACATGTTTTCTCTCTACTAAGACACCTTGGTCTCTCTTATGGACACCTGGTATTTGTCAGAAGAGGATTTCATGGAGCATAAACTGTTTCTGCGTTTGAAATTCTCCAAGGGAAAAAAAAAAAGTACTAGCCAACATGAATGGCTAAAAGGACAGAGGCTGATTCACATTCAAAAGTCATTCTCTTCCCATTGACAGTGACCTGGGAAATACTTCTCCTTTCCTATCAACGTGTTAGTAGAACCAGCTCTAAACTCTAAAAATAAATGGAAATTTCTTGAAATAAAAGCATGTTTGGAGAGTGTACATGCTTTCCTTGGTGTGCAATTTCTTTAAGATGAGTCTAAAATCATTAAGCTGATGCAAATTTGTCCATTAGGAGCCACTGTGATATGTTTTGTTGTTGTGGTGGTTGTTTTTGTCCTTTATCATTTGTTTTCAAAGGAGACCAATGACCTCATGGGGTGATGCCTTGACTCATGTGTGAAGTGGATTTAAGAGAGGCAGAATTGCATGAAGTTATCAGCCTCACTGTCTCCTCCAGAGTCATTGAAGTCCAGTCTTGACAAAAGTCAAGACAACTGGCAATAGTTCGGGATTCAGTGGATGACCAAGGCATCTTCAATGTCTTACCAAGCTCTAAGCACTCCACAGTACCTGCTTCAGCTGCCTTCATGGCTGTTGGAACAAATCATTCTCATACCCCACTACTGTGGGGGAAGTCTTCACATGCTTGGTGCAGACATCCCCCTAACTCACTGACAGGTTTGAATTCTGTCACCCTCAACTTGGTTGAGCCCATCTATTGAGATGGTTTTGCCAGGGTGTGGCTGTTGTACATGCTATAGCTTCTCGGAGATACAAGTGAGAGTTGAATGAAGGTGGACACCAGAGGTGGATGAACAGCCCTGAAAAGGGCTTAGCAAGCCCTCACAGTAGAAGTGTTAGTCTTTCCTCCTAGTCACTACACCCTAGTATGATATAGTGAGGAAATCACTGACCAAGGAGTCAAAGGACCTGGATTCCAAATCTAGCTCAGATACTTAATCACCTGGGCTCCCCCCCTCTCCCCCACCATCAAGTCACTTAACCTACCTGGGACTCAGTTTCCTCATCTATAAAATGAAGTGACTGGAGTGGATGACCTCTGAGGTCCCCTGAAGTTCTAGATCAGTAATCCTATAACCCTCCAAGTATATGCACAACTAGAGACCGTAGATATCTTCCCATTCCTGAAAGTCTAATCGTAGTTAGAGAGGAACAAGGAGGAGCTCCTATTCTCTAACTAGGTTCAGAGTTGTGCTGGGCTACGCGTAACCATTCTGCAATATTACCTTGAGAATCATACTTCTCAGCAAATGAGATAGTCAACTCAAATTAACTAAGTCATTTTTCATCCAGACCTCCACATTTCCTTAAATAGAACCTCATTCTATAAACAGCTCTGCTCACCGTGGCAATCAGCTTTTATGTGTTTATGATAATTGAAGCTTAAAGTGCACACGTGTCTCCTTCTCTCTTTCCATATCCCATTCCTTCAAAGTCCAAATGATAGAAGTGTAGTTATAAAACTCACGTCCAGCTGCACAGCTGTGGGTGGAACCAGTTGAGACTACATAGTAAGTGGGCACTTTCAGTTCGTCCAGGGAAGCTTGCTTATGCTTAGAGACTGGAATTATGTTGCCTACAGGGAAACTGGGTGGCGTAGGAGGGAGGAAACACTGCACAGTGGAAGGAAGCTGGAAGTCTGGTAATCTGGATTCTATTTCTGGTTCTGCCATTAGTTACTTGTCTGACCTTGTTCTTATGCCTTAGTTTCCTCATTTGTAAAGTGAGAAGATCTGATTAAATCATTTCTAATGCCTCTTTTAGCTCTAAGTCTATAATTCTTCAGGTTCTAACATTTTATGATTCTGCTTTATATACTATGGTATATACACTGATCTTACAGCACAATTATTTCTAACGTAATTTTGAAATGTCAGAAATATTACTTCAGAATACATGGAGTAAACTAGACCTTTCTCTAAGGTCTATCTTGCTCTTATAAGACTCATGTATAATGTGTAAAAATTCTTTAATTCATTTAGATGCTGCAACTTTGGACCATTACACTTCTCCTGCTGGGCACAGTGAGAGGTGAGCACAATGTTTGTATCTCTTTTAGTAGAATTTAATCATGTTTGAGTTATTTAGGGTGACACATCAATAGTGCATTTCAGAGAGGTACCTTCAGTAAAAGGTTCGGTCACTAGAATTACAGGTGATGCATAAATGGCAGGTACTCAGACGTAAGAAAGGAACACCCATAGTATCTGGTAGAAAATGTTATTCTTAACATGCTCCTTCAAGAGTCAAGGTCTGCCTTCACTTGGAGCTACAGCAAGAATTCTGAGCGTTTATCATTCTCTTGGGTTCATCCTGGGCATCTCATAGACATATAAAAATAAATTCTAATTTTGTAGACTTAACAGTTTTGTTCAAAGGGGTGCACATAAGTGTGAGGTAGAATCAAGAATTGCTTTAATTCACATTTCTCTAGTTAATGGTGATTTGGGGCTTTTTTTCATATGGCTATAGATAGCCTGAGTTTCTTTCCTTGAGAACCTCCTGCTCATATCCTTTGATTATTTATCAATTGGGAAATGGTTCTCATTTTTATAAATATGAATCCCAAACACCTAAAACACATGATAGGCACTTAAGAATTATTCTTTAAATAGAATTAATTATAGAAGGCTACCTAGAGGAGGAGAGTTTTAAGGACTTTTACAGTTCTAAGCCTACGAACCAGTTTTTTTTTAATTGTATTTTTTTTTAAATTAAGATGTCCTTCTATATAAGTTAGGGTGGTAGCAAATTGGAAAGAGTGCTGACTTGGAGTAAGGACGATCTGAGATTAAATCCTGTCTCAGATATTTACAAACTATGTTATCCTGGGCAAAGTTTAAGCCTCCTTAACCTGACTTTTCTTGTCTGTAAAATGGGAACAGTAATAGCACCTACATCACAGGGTTGCTGTGAGGATCAAGTAAGATATTACATATGAAAGTGAGAAATAAACACACATATGTATGTTTATGTATATGCTATCATTATTATAGGCCTGAAAAAGACCATCTTCTAAGTAGTTGATAGTGACTGGTATCATCCAGGGCCATCTCCATTTGTCCTGATCTGTATCTTGCCACTGGTCCCAGATGGCTGTGGAGGAGAAAGAGGCTGGTGACTTTGCACAGCCCTCCCTCCCTTAAATCCAGTTCACTTGCAGGTCGTGACATCACCTTCCTGATGACATGGTCCTCTTGGTGAACTAAGGACAAACGACAATAACGGCAGTGCCTGGCATGCAATAAGCACTTAATAAATGCTAGTTGTGGCAGTTGTGAGCAAATTTCTTTAGCTCTCTGAGCCTGTTTTCTCATCTATAAAATGGGAATTGGAATACTTACATGTCCTACTTCACAGAGGTGCTATGATGAAACAACTTTGTAAATTACATATCTAACACTTCCCATAACGCTTGGCATGTAGTACATGCTTAATAAGTGCTTGTTGACTTGACTATTTAAATGTGAGTCATTATTATGATTGTAAAAATGATCCTTGATTAAATTAAATTTCACTAATCCTCAATTAACCTTAAATTAAATGAAAAGTCCATTTTAGCATCCTAACAATAATTGTCAAAATTTCAAGGTCACAATCCTGGATTATTCCTATATTGGGCTTAGTTATTTTCAAAGATTCCATTTAGCAAGGTGATGACTGAAAATGACATTATCTAGTCCTTCGGAATACCTGAAATTGAAAGTAAATGTATTTTAGTACATAGCATGCTAGTCTTAGAATCAACAAGACCTAAGTTCAAAACCTGCTTTAGACTCTTACTAGCTGTGTGGCAATAGGCAAGTCACTAAACCTCAATGAGTCTCCCTTTCCTTATGTACAAAATGAAGATATTGTGTCTGTTGTAACTGTCTCACAGGATGTTGTGAGGTTCTGATGAGATGCTGCACACAGAGTGTGTAGAATGCAAACTATAAGATGTTATGTAAATGTCGGTAATGTCTTGCTTTTTATCCCCATGCTGCAGGAAAAGAGATCTGTTTTGAAAGACTTGGCTGTTTTTCAAATGACAAACCATGGTCTGGAACACTCCAGAGACCTTTTAAAGTACTTCCCTGGTCTCCTGAGGATATCAATGTCCGTTTCCTTCTCTACACTAAGGAAAATCCAAACAACTTCCAAGTAAGATTAATTTATGGAAATAAACAGGCTATTTCTTTTTGATGTCAAAGGTATAGTGGTATTATAATAGTGGAAGCCATCGTAGTAATCATGGTATTGTGGAAAGAGCCCTGGGCAAAGCACTAGAAGATATAGGATCTCATCCTAATTCTGATACTTCATGATGTTGGGTAGGTGATTTTCTTTTTCTGGGCTTGTTTCCTCATTTTTAAAATGAGGAGATTGTAATAAATGGTCTCTGTACCCCTTCCAACTTTAATCTCTGACTAGCAAATGCTCTATTAACAACCTTTTACATGTTTTCAGGGAGCTTGAATTGCCATTTCAAGGAGCCCTGCTCTGATTCTATATCTTGAACACAGAGTCTATTGTCTGCCCAGTTTATTATGGGCTATTGAGTGAAATATAACTTATGCATGTACAGTTAAATCAAACCAAAACTTATTAAGCCCTGCTGTGTGCAAGGCACTGTGCTAAGGTGCTGCTGACAGACAAAAACAATCCCTGCCTTCAAGGAGGTTACATTCCACACGGGTGACATAACATGCAAAATAGAGCCATAAATTTGAGAAAATTTAAGAAAAGAGAGAGCATGACAACTGAAGGGATCCAAAAAAGGTTCAAAGAGAAGGTGGTACCCAAAGTGAGTCTTGAAGGAATTAGGGATTCTGAAGGGCAGAGGTGAGAAAGGAGTGCATAGCTAGCATGGTAGAGAGATGAGTTTGGGGAATCACTGCTATAAAAGTTGGGTGAAATGTACATTGCATGAAGAAGAGTAACATGAAATAAGTATTGAAAGGTTATTGGCAGTCAGATTGTTGAGGGCCTCATTAAAATAACAACAATACCTCTCTTTGTAAATGGAAGATGGTCACATTGGCATAGTCAATGAACTGGTCCTGACCTAGTTTCTTATGTCTATAAAACAGAAGGAGCAAAATGGTGCCCAGGTGAAACTTGAGGGTCATACAGGAGAGACATGAGGCAATAATTTAGTATAAGACAGAAAGTGTCTGCTGCATTGTATATTATTCTCTCCTCTTGAGTTAGAAAAAATATAGTACATACATTGTTGTATAGCTTCTCACATGTTTAACAGCATCAAGTGAATCCTTAAAACCAAAAATAGGGATGCAATAACAAAGGTTTGGTGGCTAGATAAGGAGCTCTGAATACAATGGATATGGATTTCTCCATAATTTGGAGGCACCCATTTACCTTCTCATCCATCCATGTAACCACAATTTTTATACAGCTGTCCAAGGATTTGTTCAGCTTCCACATCAAAGGTCAAAAGATTTTGCCTTTTATATTTTAACTAAGGTCTCATATATCCTTTATTCTTATCCCTGTGGATAGGAGCACTTTTCCACTGGGTTTGGAAAGCTTAATGTGATATCATTACTTTTTTTAGCCCCAACCTTCTTCCTGCAGTAGGACCTGATTTTTAAAATTATTTTTGCAGCAGTGGAATGAGGTTATATGGAGCCATCTACAAAATCTTGCCAAATCTCCCTTATGACCAAGGGAATGTATTCCAAAGATAGTTTTTCAGGATGAGGGGTGTAGTCTGTGACTAGGGACAGGTTACAATAAATTGTTCATCCCAGGGATTTAATCTATGGTTTTAATTATGTTAGGTCTAGGAACTAATCTGCTAGATTGATCAACCACAGATTTAGGAAAAGTAATGTTTAATTTCTTTTCTTTTCTTTCTTTTTTTTTTTTGGCTAGGCAATGGGGTTAAGTGACTTGCCCAGGGTCACACAGCTAGTAAGTGTTATATGTCTGAGGCTGGATTTGAACTCAGGTCCTCCTGAATCCAGGGCCGGTGCTCTATCCACTGTGCCACCTAGCTGCCCCCATAATGTTTAATATCTACTCCCTTTCATTTAAAACAGATTATCCTTCCATATGATCCATCTAACATTGAGGCTTCAAATTTCAAAACAGATCGAAAGACTCATTTCGTCATCCATGGCTTCATAGACACAGGGGAAGAGTCCTGGTTGATAGACATGTGCAAGGTAGGAGGCAGAAATCTGGTGCTATAGGTTTTTATTCTAACATCTTGAAGCAACAGAGCTTCCATCAGCTTCCAAGGAATAGGTTCAAATATCAGAGTGCGGCTCACAGCCTCTGCTTTGATAGCCCTGAGGTTGATAAATGAGATATCCTCTGAAAACATTTTTGTCCTTGAATAATAATGTTTTTATATCACTAATGGTAATATGTCAGGATAATTAAGGATAATTAATTCTCCATTTCCTCATAATGTATTATCTCTTACATATCTTATAGTCTTCAAAGTGACTCTTACCCAAGCAGCCACTGTGTAGCTGTAAGGCTGAAGAAATCTGCCCCACAGCAATCGGGGCAGTTCAGTGGTGAGGGCAATAGTTGATGTCACAGGACACAAACTGTAGAGGGACTACAGAGTAGCTGAGATCATAATTGCTATCTGCTATTTTGGGGCATAAATAGACTACCAGATGTGGTCCTTAATGAATTCAGAGACTTACTGGTCACCCAAATAACCGCCACAGTGATGGAGGGACACTTGTCCCCTGGCTTGTCTACTGCAGGGAGACAGTCATTCAGTCAATAGACCTATATTAAGTTAAGCACCTACTATGTGCCAGACATTATGCTTAGCACTGAGAATACAAAAAGAGGCAAAAAGACAGTCCTTGCCCTCAAGGAGTTCATAATCTAACAATTGTATAACAGGTGTAGGGCTAATCCCAAATCTCTCAGTTCAAAAGCATAAAAAATCTTATAATTCTTCTCCAACCCTTCCTTCCTATAAAGATAGGAGGCATTAATATCTCTCTCCTCCCAGGTATTAGAACTGAAAGGTAACTTAGAAACACATCTTATTGTCTGACTCTCTCATTTTGCTGATAAAGGACACTGAGGCTCATAACGGTAAAGTAGGACTCATCCTCTAATTCCAAGTGCTATGCTTATTCTTTGAATCTTCCTCTCAATTCTCCTTCATTTTCCTTTCTAAAAAGAACAAAGGTGGTTGCTATGGATTCGTTTGGCAATCATTAGAAGCAGCTCCTCCTGCCAATTCTTCCTTAATATCAACTTTTTAAAAATTCTTACTTTCCATTTGCTACCATAAATCTTTCTTCCCTTATCTTGCCAATCTCATCCCCCAATAACTTAGTAATGGCTCCCTGCCCATATGATCAAAATTTCCTTCATAATTCTTGATGTGATACATAAATCGTCCCAGGCAAAGGGGGCTAATACATGGAGTGTGTCACAAGAGAATGCAAATAGCTTTGTATTTGAAGTAAGAACACATATATTTGAACCCCAATGTGCTACTTGGATGAGTCATTTGCCTTCTCTTGGCCTTGTTTGCTCACCTGGAAGATGAGAAGACAAGGGTAGATGATCTCTAAGGTCCCTTCCAGCTATAAATCCATGACTTTCTGACCTCTCTGAACTGGTTTCCTCTTCTGTTAAGAGGAGATAATATTTGTGCTACCTATCTCTTAGAACTGCCATCAAAATCAGGTGAGGTGACCTGTGACAAATGCTAGATAGGCAAGCTTCCATTAGAGTCTGATGCCATGCCCCTCTTGACATGGTATGATGCTATATTCTCAAAGGCTATGCCAATGGAAAATAAGATGCAAGGTGTTCAAATATAACCCTGGCAATGGGCTGTATGACCCAATACCTTACATGGTGCCTGCAACATAGCAGGCACTTCATAAATGTATTGAATTGAATTGAATTGAAGGCTAAGGATAGCTTAGCTGACCATATACAGATTCAGTAACAGAATGTGGACATACAAATGATGGATTGTTTTTCTTACTGTGTTATTATGGGGTATGGTTAGGATGATCCTTACATCCAGAACCTTCTAATTCAACCAGTGATGTTTCTGAAGCATTCTCAGATCTCAAAAAAACTACAAAACTTTTGCTTTGACTAACTAGATCTATTTCAGCTAAACTACCTCTCACGTTGGAAGCTTTAGCTTATAACTTTATTATGGCTTATTTGTTTATGGCTTGTGGTTCTGGTTTTCATGAGAGAAAGATAAAGTTAATATTGAGCAAACTAGAGTCAGAGGTAGGGAAAGTTTCTGGCAGTTTCCTCTTTTCTTTCTCCCCGTAAGCATAAACAGCAGCCAAAGAGCCCCAGAATTGTTTGCGTTTTTTTGTCTTGGCAATTATAAAGATTGGTGGGATGGGAAGTAAAGGTATGGCACCATTCTGAAATCTTATGTTTGCTCTCAGAATCTGTAATTTTACTACTGCTGTTGGTATGCATAATGATATAAAGGCCTCCCTTTTTTGCTCCAACTGATTGCAACCTGTCACACAAATATTGGTGTTTTCCTTGGAGCAAACACCTACATTTAGAAAGCAGTTAATAGTATTAACAGGGAAACAGTAGACTTTTAAAAAGTGAGTTGAGTATTGGCCTGAGACTTCAGTTATCTAGTTAGCAACTTCCTTTCAAGAAAGGCAGTTTAGCTCAATAGAAGAGTACTGATTTAGGGACATGATAAGAGGTACGAGGTCAATCAACCAAGCTATCCACAAGCATTTATTACAGCTTGCTTTGTGCTAGCCACTGTGCTAGTTTCTTGTGATACAAAACCAGACATGAATTAGTCGGTCTCTTCTGTCAAGGGACTTACATTCCATCCCCTATCAATCTCTGACTTTCTCTCAAGGTTTTGTCCTTGCTTTGACTGATTATCTGGGTAAACTTGGGCAAATCTGCTCACATCCGTGGACCTAAATTTCTCTATTTATGAAATGAGACAGTCAGGGTAGATGATTTCTTGGATGTAGTCCAGCTCCAAAATTCTATGAAATTTTGAGTACTTCTTCCTTTTTGAACCTCAGTTTCCTTATCTGTAAAATGAAGGAAGCAAGAGAGCTGCTCTCTAAGATTCTTATATCTCTGACATCCTATGAGTCTTTTACTTGCTTCCCACTCAGTCACCGTAAATCTTTCAGCCTGTGTCATGGTCTTGAAGCTCTCCCAGAGTTACATCTCTTTGTGACCTACCCTGAAGTTCCCAAGTAGCCTAAATATGTGGGAAAGAGAATTATTGCCTAAACAAAGCTGGATCAAAAGTTTGAGCATGAACTTCCCTAATGTTCAGTTGTTCCCTTGAAACAAGAAAAAAAATTTAGAGGGAGATTTTTTTTTAAAAGAATGAATGCTGTTGGAAAACAAACAAACACCACCCCAATCCTTCTCTGTCAAAGGAAGAGATGTTAAGGTAACCTGGTCATTACATGCCTATGATTCATTGTACATTGTATACTTTTACAGGACTGATTTCTTGGTTGATTTCTTTACTGTTCTGTTTTCCCCAGAAAATATTACAGGTGGAAAATGTGAACTGCTTCTGTGTTGACTGGAAAAAGGGTTCGCGAGCAAGATATGTACAAGCAGCCAACAACATCCGGGTAGTGGGGGCTGAAATAGCCTATCTGATCAATGTATTATCAGTAAGTTGCCTTCTTTGGGCTGTGCAAGGATATATTTGTTCTTAAAACTGACATGGTGTCTGGAATCAACCTTCCCAAGTGTCACCATTACACATCTAATGTGATGGTTCACTCAGCGCCAGAGGGTTTAGATAAAAATATATCCAATAATCCCTAGGTAAAAGTTGTCCACAATCAGGAAGGTAAAAGCCACTGGCAAGATGATTAAATCAGTCATCAAGGAAATTCCCTGGGGTTATTGGAATTCCCTCCCCAAATCCTAAAAATAAAGCTATTTTTACATCCTCCATTCCCAAAGGTCCCATAGCTGAATCCTAGATCATTCTTCATGGGGGCAAAGTTAACTCAAATCTGCCCAAGTCTGCTCCATCAATTTTTGGTTCACATCAACCTCCATCAGGAGTCTAAGAGTTAACTCAAGCTTCCCTAGTTCCACAGCACAAGTAAAACAAGAGTCCTTGGGATTCTGGGCACACTAACAAGTTATAGACAGTATTTGTATTGTAACTATAGCTCACATTTATGGAGTACCTTTAAAGATAGCACAAGACATCCAGAAGATAGCTGACTTTTCAGAGAGTTATTAGAAAAATGTCTGGAATACTTTGGAAGGGCCATGCAGTCAGGCCTGCAGTTAATCTAATCTGCCACTGGTCAGCAGTATTAGCATTTCCAGGCAGCAGGAACAGCATTCAGCTATATGAAACAGACTGATTTTATGAGTTCAACAAGTAGATTTTTGTCTTTTTTTTCCATCCCCCACCGCCAGTGTCAGCCCCATCTGGTTCCTTTTTTCCTCAGCTAACAATACTCCCAAGTTTAGGGTGGACTCAGGAAAAATGGGGGATGAGGACATCGGGCCGGGGAACCAACCTGGATAGGCCACCAGCACTCCTTAAGGTTGAGGTTGAATATCGCTTGTTAATATGTTCCCTTTTGGATTTTTTCAAACTGAGGGTGGGCATTCTGCTACAGTCAGCACTGCAGTGTAACATGAGGAGGTTGTGATCTCCCAAGGGGTGGGAGTGGGGGTGGGGTTGAATGTGGAGGGAGAGTGGAAAAAGAGACAAAGCATTCAAACTGCTTTCTAAAACATGCTTGTTGAATTCTGGGAGGGACTGGTGCCCACTACAATTGAAGAGAATCCTGGCCAGCCTGCATAGCACTGGTCTCTTGGCCCCTGGTGGTGTTACACAGGCCATCTGCCCCTATTAGGGAGCACCTAGGTATGACAGCACAAGAAAGTGAGTCTTGAGACTCACTTCACTTGATGACATTGGGAGCATAGGGGGTGCCAGCCAGGAGGATAGGATAGAGTTGGGGAATAGTTCTGTCAGATGACTTGAAGCTAGAGGAAAGCTGTGAAGTATACAAGATGGCCCAAAGAAGCGTTCCCTGCCCCCTACTTGTTGGTGCCTTCATGCAAAGCCCTAGTTGCCAAGTCCTAGTTAGGGCTCAGAATGAATACCAGAAAGATAGTGCTACCCTTTGAAGAAGCTCTCCTGGGGCAGCTAGGTGGTGCAGTAGATAGAGCACCAGCCCTGAAGTCAGGAGGACCTGAGTTCAAATCCTGCCTCAGACCAAACACTTGACACTTACTAGCTGTGTGACCTTGGGCAAGTCACTTAACCCCAATTGCCAAAAAAAAAAAAAAAGAAATATGAAGAAGCTCTCCTTTCTACCAGACAGAGTTTGGATATTCTCCTTCTAATATTCACGCCATTGGTCACAGCCTGGGAGCTCATGTTGCTGGGGAGGCTGGGAAGAGACTCCAAGGTCAAATCGGCAGGATCACAGGTATGCTGAAGAGAGAGTGATTTATCTAGTGCTTTGGGGGTTGTGAAGTTCTTTGCAAAGTTTCTTTTGCCTGATCCTCATGACTCTGTGAAGTATTAGTATCCCCATTTTACAGATGAATAAACTGATGTTAAGAAAGCTTAAATGACTTGCCAGGGTCACACAGCAAGTAAGGGACAGGATTTTGAAATCACGCCAGTGCTCTATCAAGAAAACTTCTCTAATATTAGCTGTGGTAGAGCCTGATGCTGGGACAGAAAATGGGTAGGAGGAGGAAGAACAAGAGATTTCAAAAAGAAAACATCTCTAATGTGATTCATTGCTTCTTGAGGATTCAGAAGACAATTTAGAATCTTGCAGTGCCTCAGGTCATCACTGTAAGTATCATTTTGCCAGTCTGTGGTTGAGAGTATAGGATCTACACTGAGCCTATAAACTATCCTGGAAACTGTGTTTAAAAACTGTGTTGATTTGTCATTTGCTTCTTTTTCACATAAAAAATAAAAGGCAAACCAAGGTTAGAAGGAAATAAGAAAGCTGGGAAACAATTTTCATAGCCAGTGTTTCTGATAAAAGGCCTCATTTCTAAAATATGTAGAGAACTGAGTCAAATTTATAAGAATACAAGTCATTCCCCAATCGATAAATAGTCAAAGGATATGAACAGGCAGTTTTTAGGTGAAGAAATTAAAGCTATCTACAATCATATAAAAATGCTCTAAAGCACTAATGATTAGAGAAATGCAAATCAAAACAACTCTGAGGTACCACATCACACCTATCAGATTGGCCACTATGACAAAACAGGAAAATGATAAATGTTGGAGAAGATGTGGGAAAATTGGAACACTAATGCATTGTTGGTGGAGTTGTGCAACGATCCAACCATTTTGGAAAGCAGTTTGGAACTATGCTCAAAGGGCTATAAAAACATGCATATCATTTTACCCAACAATAGCACTTCCAGGGCTGTATCCCAAAGAGATAATACAAATGGGAAAAGGACCCACATGTACAAAATATTTATAGCAACTCTTTTTGTGGTGGCAAAGAATTGGAAATTGAGAGGATGCCCATCAATTGAGGAATGACTGACCAAGTTGTGGCATATGAATGTAATGGAATACTATTGTGCTATAAAAAATGATGAGCAGGCAAATTTCAGAAAAACCTAGAAAGATTCATGAGAAAGGTATTCTGATGCTGAGTGAAGTGATCAGAACCAGGAGAACATTGTACATAATAACAGCAACATTGTATGATGACCCATGTTGATAGATTTAGGTCTTCTGAATCATGCAATAATCTAAGACAATTCCATAAGCAGAAAATGCTATCCATGTCCAGAGAAGGAACTATGGAGTCTGAATACAAATCAAAACATTTCTCTTTTTTTTCTTTCTTGTGGTTTTTCCCTTTTGTTCTGATTCTTCTTTCACAACATGACCAATGTAGAAATATGTTTAACATGATTATACATGTATAGCCTATATCAGATTGCTTGCCCTCTTGGGGAAGGGTGAGGGGAGAGAGCAAAAAAAAATTGAAACTCAAAATCTTACAAAAGTGAATGTTGAAAATTCTCTTTACATGTAATTGGAAAAAAAAAATACTATTAAGTAAGGGGGAAGAAATTCAGAGGAACATGGGAAGCCCTGCTTCCTTATATGAACTGATACACAGTGAAACAGAACCAGGAAAATATAGATGACTTTAAAATGTCATGAAAAGAACACTGCAATGAAGGCAAGTGTCATAAAATTGTAACAACCAATCCTAGCCCTAAAGAGATGAAAAAAAAAATACCTTCCTCCATTCCTTGAAGAGGTAAACTACAGGTATTGTATACTCAGTTACATGTAGTTGCTGTTAAAAAAAAAAAAGGAAAGAAAAAAATAAATGTGAGAAAAACTTTGCCTTTTCCTGTTAACACTGGTTCTAACATCACTTTTAATAACAGTAACCAAAAAATTACATTACCTGACGATCTACAAAGCACAAGAAATATTTTGTGAAGTCCCCCTAGAGAGTTGGTATTTGTTCATTGAATATTATAAGTAACGTAATACAAAGGACATAGATCTGATTCAGCAATATTGGGGTCCACAAGAAGAATCTTCACACCAGCAATTCACCTTGTTTCTGTTTCTTTGCCCAGTTTTAAATTTATGTTCAAATTCATATTGTGGATTTCAGTTTTTCAAATAAACATCTCTGCCTCTGGGGGAAATTTTTTTTTTAAAAGGCAGAAAAAATATTCTAGTTATTGTAGCTGGGTTTTCAGGGAAGGGTCATTGACTGATGATAGACCTAAGTCAATCAAACATTTATCGTGTTTCCTGTTTCCATTGATCTGGCTGTGACTGAAAAAAGCAGAGGGAGGGCAGAGTAAAGAGTTATTCACAGACATTTTAGAAAAGCTCTCTTTATGTCTAATTGCTACTCAGTTTGTGGCTCCTTCTAACAATTGAAGTTTCTCTAAACCAGCTCTTCTGTCAGAGAACTCAAGTAGAGAAACCAAGAGGTGGAATGGAAACAGTGAGGATTCCCAGGTTGTAATCCTGGCTTTGCCAAGAGCTCACTATATGATCTTGGGCAAGTTCCTTCTGTTTACTAGGCTTCATTTTCCTTAGTGATAAAATGAGGAGGATTAGACTAGATAAAAATTAAAGTCCCTTACTGCTCTTATTTGTAACTGTGTATCACTGTGGGAAGAGCCCTGGATTTGGCCATCAGAAGACTTTGCTGCTTCAAGCATCACTCTGCTGCTTACTACCTGGGCAAACAACCTCTCAGCCTCAGATTTCTCATCTGTAAAATGTAAGCTTTGGAGCAGTTGACCTCTAAAGATACTTCCAGCTTTAAATCTGATCTAAACTAACATGTCCTGGGAGATCTCTTGCTATTTAAAGGTACCCTTTTTAGAAGTGAAGAGTCCTTTAACAGTATTAGACATTACACAGTGACTTGTCTATTTTGCGGGAGTGGATGGATGGTTGAATCTCTGATTCTCTTCAAGTAGAAAACAACTGTTCATGATTTTTCCCCCTCTAGGCTTAGATCCAGCAGAGCCTTGTTTCCAGAACACTCCAGAAGAAGTCCGACTGGATCCCAGTGATGCCATGTTTGTTGATGTGATTCACTCAGACGCTGCTCCTATGTTGCCAAACCTGGGTGAGCATCTCACCTTGAATGCTATAATTGAGACAAGCTGTAGTTAAACTCCTGACAAGGTGCCTGGGATTCAGGACCTGACAGTAACTTAGCATCTTTTGACCCCTGTTTCAAATGTTTTAGGTTTAGGAATGAGCCAACTTGTGGGACATCTGGATTTCTTTCCAAATGGTGGAAAACAAATGCCTGGATGTCAGAAAAACAGCCTTTCAACCATTATTGATATAAATGGAATATGGGAAGGTATGTCTATTAAGCAAACCAAGAAGATGATGACTTCCCCACTTTGGAAGCTGTCAAAAATTTATGGGCTGCCCTTAATGGCAGCTAGAATTCTCTCCTGGAAGAGATAAATATTATGTCTCATCTTGACAGTGTGCCATAGATAGATTCTATTGGATCATAGATATGGAGCTATTAAAAGGACCTCAGAAGCTGTCTAATTTAACTTTCCCATTTACATATTGGAGAAGTGAAGCCTAGAGAGGTTAAGTCACTTACCAATGGTCACCCAGTTAAGACCTGGCAGGGCTTAGATTTGAATTTGAATTCAATTACATTCAGATTCTAGATCAGTTTTTTCCCCCTACTATTTCATCTACATTTGACTGAAAACATATACTCTAAAGACCAACCTTATGTCTGGGTGAATAAGCAGGCATCAGTGAGTGCCCTGGCCTGTGTGTTTTGGGTGGCCTTATAATAAGGAGAACTGTGGTTTGGGAAGGCTATATTCTCTGTCTCTCTGTCTCTCTCTGTCTCTCTCTCTCTGTCTCTCTGTCTCTCTCTCTCCTCTCTCCCCCCCCTTACAGTGGCTCATTTAATCCTATGACATCCCTGCTTGAGTCATTGTGCAATTTCTGACACATCAGTAATTCAGTTCCATAAGCATTAAAAAAAAAAGTACCTACTATGGGCAAAGCACAGTGCTAGTTGATGGGGATGTAAAGACCAAAAAAAAAAATACCAGCTTTCCCCTCAAGGTGATTACATATTACTAGAACAGAAGAAAAGCTAATGTTTTCCCCTAAGATGGGCCTTAGTTTACTGAATAACCTTCTTGGAATTTCTGTCAGAACTCTAGAAAACTAGAAGGAAGCCAGTGAGCTGGGGCATGGTTTGCTATAGTTTTACCGTTCTTTATCAACACCTCATTTGGCCTAGGTCATGTTGCAATAAATAACTCACATGTTTCATTCCATTTTGTGAGAAAATATGGTATAGCGGATAGAGGGTTATCTTGGAATCAGGAAAACATGAATTCAGTTCTTGCCACTAATACATACTTGCTGTGTTTATAACTAGGTAAGTCACTTAGTCCTCTCAGGACTCTGGACAACTGTTGGTAACTATATATTACAGACCGATTGCTAACCTGAGGTGGTAGTAAGGTTTCTTCCCTGAGAATTCCTCCTACCAATGAAATCTCAGGACTGAGCAAAAAAAAAAAAGGGTCACTGACTGCCCCTCCCCCCACCAAATGTGGCTGTTTAATATTATACCAAGTGATTAATACCAGGTGATTATGTGAATTAGAAAACAACTACTTAACCCTTTCAGAAAGGAGAGTCAAGTGACAATGGTCCCTAACTCTGGAGAGATGATAAACAGAGCATACATAATAGAAATTAACATGGCCTTAATTGCAGAAGTAATTTCAAGTGGGCAAGAACATTAAAACTGAAGGCTGGGTCTGTTATGTGAGGCTCAGAGTCATTAGTTCTGGGCACCAGGGAACAATCTAATCCACTTTCTCTTCCTTGGGCAGCAATTTTGGATTAAAGAAATAGTTAAGCGTAAAATGGGTTCTGTTGCACAGTAAACAATGGTGGTGGTGGCTGGATCATCTTCTTACTACAAGTTATTGAGCACCAGGAGTTGTAGAGGGCTTGGAGAGTGTTTTTCTGTGAAAATGGACAATGTTTAAGTAACCTTCCCTAGATGATGGAAAAGAAAGTCCATTTAAGTATCTGGGATGTTTCCCAGGTGTGGCCTGCATCCAGGATAAATAACTCATTTGGCATCTTCTTTCAAAGGAATGTGTCAGAAAGATTCCCTAGACCTACAGTTGGAAGACCTGGATTCTCAGGTTGGTGGGATCTCAAAGTTGGAAAGGAGTTCAGAATCCATAGAGTCAACCCTGAGCTTGATTAAGAATTCCTTCTGCAACCCTGTTGACCAGTGGTCATCTAGCCTTTTCTTGTAGTTCTCCAATCAGGGGAACCCACCACCTCCTACAGCAGCCCACTCCATTGCAGAATAGCTAGAGTTGTTAGGAAGTGCTTCTGACAGCAAACCTAAACCTTCCTCTATAACTTCTATCCATTGCTTTTAACTCTCCCTTCTAGGGTCAAACAGATCTAGCTTAATTCCTCTTTCACATTTTAAGATGGATACTGGCATGTTGAGAAAGTCCAGAGGAGGGTAACAGAAGAGTGAAGGGCTTTGAGAACATGCCTTTTGAGAATCTAGCAGACAACTGAAGATGTTTAGAGTGAAGAAGACTTAGGGGAAAGAGGTGAAGAAATGATAGCTTTCCTCAAGTATTAAAAATCTAGCCAGTGGCCTTCTTAAAATATTGTGCCCAGAAATGAACACAATATTCATAATGCAGAGCACAGTATATGTCACCTGGCCAGAGCACCTGCATGCTGTGAACCCCTAGGCCTGGCAATGCAGCTTAAGAGCTCACTGCCTATGTAGCCTTTTCTGTTACTAATGATCAAAGGAGACAATATTTGTAAAGTGCTTACCACACCTTAATGTGCTAATAAATATGCGTTCTTCCTTTAAAAAAAAAAGAGGTCACTACCTTCTTTGGATGATATTGACTCCTATGGACTCACTATCGACTCAGTTTGAACTTGTATCCCACTAGAAAACCCATGTCTTTTTCAGATCAACTAGCATCTAGATGTGCCTCTCTTGCTTCATACTTGGGATGCAGATTCTTAGTGTCCTCACTCTGCTCCTTACTGCTAGGTTGTCCTTTGACAAGTTCTTTTATTTCTTTGAACCTCCCTTGACCTCAGTCTCCCTCTTTTGTAAAATGAGGGGATCTAACCATTTAACCTCTAAGGTGTCTGTCTTTTTCACAGTTTCTAAGGTCTCTTCCAGCTCCAGCATTCTAAGAGAATGTGAAATTAGAAAAGTAATTTTAACAGCTGGAATTTGATTGGGGAAAGTGACAGAAAAAAAAATTAAAATTACAGCAGTAGTCATGGTGATTATATTAATAATGGTTTTGTTTTATGTCCTGAGATACAAGAAGAAGAAAGGCTTTGGAAGTTTCTTGGCTACTGGGCAACCACCTTCCTATGGACCTGGGGTTTATAAGTACTTTAGACAAATAGTCCCGATTCATGCCACAATAGAGCTGGCAGGTGTAACCCATAACCAGAGGCTCCTGAAAGCTCCACCAAGCCTCCTCTGTCTGGTTTCTGGATTTCCTTGTAGTAAAATTCTGCACCACCTCATGCTTTACCCGTATGATTGAGTTTTTACTATATCATTTAATAAGGCATATCCTTCCTGAGCCAGACTCCAGTGATGTCCTATTCTGCACAATTTCAGTAATGATTGTGATGTCAAAGTTGCTTTCTTACATTAGGATATCTAGTTCACCATATTAGTTACCTTTATTTGTTTATTTGTATATAGATATTTGAGGCTACGAGTTTCATGCTGACTCATTTCTTGGGATTCTTGAAAATTTATGGATGACTGAATTGCTCAGTATCTCTAATGTTATTTTTCTTTCTATATTATCTTTGCCCTCTGTGATAACTAGTTTAGTAACACACACACACAGAGTAAAAAGAGAGGCACTTTTCTTTCCTCTTTCCCATTTTCCTCCTCCTCTTCCTCCTTCTCCTTCCTTTTCAGACTAAACTCTTTTTATTATATTCACATGATTCCAAAGAATTACATTCTCAGCCCCTTCTAGGTGTTCTCCATCTCTGGCCGTGAACCTGTCATGCCTCTATTTTTAGCCATGGTTGAGAAATTCAAATCTCATTCTTAGATACCATTCTCTTAAATAGCTGTTTACTTCCACATCTGCTTATCTCTTCCAAAACTCTCTCCATAATAGATGTTGATATATTTGTTGAATGAATGAATTTCCTAAACTGCAGTTGTATGTTTAGAACATCAAAATATTGGTCAAATCAGTCCACTTAGTGGTAGAAAAATCAATCAAACCAGTTGTTTGCTGTTATGTAGACAAAACAACCCATTTGATGGCTATTTTTACTTTTCAAGTGGTGATTTTAGCTTTGAGTAGGCACAGCTTGAATTCAAGTTATGAGAGGCTAGAAATAGTTATAGGTCTTTTAAGTGGTAGTGAAGAATTCTGCAAATACTCTTGAATGTAAAGGAATTAGAAAAAACCCTACAATTTACAATTATTGTAATATATATAAAAATCCTGACATTGATCTAGGAATTGTGTAAATAGTTCTGAGTACAAAAACAAACAAACAAAATACCAAAGTCTAACTGCCTTGGTCAAATTCTTTAATGAGAAAATGAAACTGCATTCTTGCTGAGTTTAATTGAAGTTTGTCTCCCCAGGATCACGTGATTTTGTAGCTTGCAATCACTTGCGAAGCTATAAATATTACTCTGAAAGCATCCTCAAACCCGACGGCTTTCTTGGTTATCCCTGTACTTCCTACGAGCTTTTCAACTCGGGAAGTGATCTATCCTCCATACCCCAAAATGTGAGTTTTAACTCCAAGACACACCACCTTCACCGAACATAATTTTGTTCTACCAAAGAACAGAAAGGTAGAATTATGAACTGGATTTAGTTTAAACAATTAATAAATATTTATTAAATCTTTACAATGTGCTAGGCACTATGCTAAGTGCTGGGGTGGTAACAAAAGAGGCAAAAGACAGGCCCTGCCCTCGAGGAGCTAACAGTCTAATGGAGGAGAAAATATATAAATAAACATATGCAAAGTAAGCTATATACAGGATAAATAGGAAATAATAAGAAAGGGAAGACACTGGTATTAAGAGGGGGTGGGGAAGGTTTCCTGTAAAAGTTAGGATGTAGGTCCAGTTTTGGAAGACCTAGGTTCAAGGCGTGTTTCTGACACATACTAGCTATGTAACCATGGTCAAGTCACTTAATTCTAAGACTACGAAATACAGAATGCCTTGCAGTCTACATCATTGGTGAAAAGCATTCTGTCTTTAATGAAATCACAGGTCAAGACAAGTCTCAACAACAAAAGAATAAAATAAGATAAGATATATAAATTATAATCCTGCCATTGACCCCATCACATTGACTAATGGAAGCAAAATAATGGTATGGGAAAACTTCAAAAGCATATGATCATAAGACAAGAACTCAAAAAACATGACATAATGGAGGGTGAAACTGCCACAGTCACAGTGGAGTGCCAAAGGAAATTGGCTATGGATATGAAATTGGAGGCGGTAGCTTTCTAATTTCTTGTTCAGTAGTAATCTTACCCCACATAGAGCAAGTGATCACCAAATATGTCAAATAAATGATTCAACATACTACATTTCAGACAAATTAATTAATTTCTTTTTGCCAACCAGGATGCATGTTTCCCTTGTCCAAGTGAAGGATGCCCAAAGATGGGTCACTATGCTGACCAGTTTAAGGGAAAAACAAAGGCATTGGGGCAGACATTTTTCCTGAACACTGGAGATAATAATGACTTTGCTCGTGAGTTTCTTTTTTGTTTACTATGCTATTTTTATAATGCTTGCAAGTAAACTTAACTTTTTCTAAGACACTATTCTCCTCCCCCCCACCTTTTTTTTTTACTGGCTTGACTTTCCTCTGGGGATATAGAAAGGAAATGAAATGAATAAGTTCGTCATTATGATCCATCTGTTATAAGTCTTCTCCTAATGGATCAGTAGAAAATCCATACATATGTAAATGTCTGTTGACTTGTGGGCAGAGCCCTAGTTAACTCCAGAAACAAGGAACATAGTATAAGTATTCTTTTCAACATGATGAACAGGTAACCTTCATGTGTTTTCTTTGGGCAGGTTGGAGGTACAGAATATCAGTCACACTCTCTGGGGGAAAAAAATTGACTGGGTATATCAGGATTGCTATGTATGGAAGTAATGGTACTTCAAGACAATATGACATTTTCAAGTAAGTTGAATATTCAAGTAAAATAGTCATTCTTTTCTACATACTAGGTTATTTTTTCCATTCTTAAGTACTTTGCTTTACCCAATAGAAGTGCTCTTATACATAAAAAGCATATATATATATATATATATATATATATATATATATATATATATGTATATATATATATACATATATATATACATATATATACACACACACAGAAACATACATTATATATGTACATATATACATATATATGCTTACATATAAATTATAATTTTTAAATTTTAAAAATTTTAAACCATTAAACCATTAAAAAATGGGAAGCATAGAATTTCAGAGAGGGAAGATGTCATCTGGTCTTAACCCAGCTTGTCTTAGAGTTGGAGAAACAATGCAGAAAAGTGATGATTGCAGACAATTAGAACTAGAAGGGTAGAGCCACAAACAACATACAGTATGAAGTCTACCGGAATCTTTCCCAGGTGCCAACCTCAGTATGGTGTTGAGTACTTCCTTCTTTGGAGGGCTTCCACATTTCTTGTTCCTTGGGTAACTGCTATTCTACTCTTTGAAGAAAGTGAAAATCTTTGACTCAATCTCAATTACATTCACACATCTCCCTTTCCCTCTCCCATCACCAGTTGGACAGTTCTCCAACTGTCCACCCACTTCCACCCTCTAGCCCCACTGAATTTGCAATGATTTGATTTGGTCCAATCTAATTATACCTGTAAGAAAAGAAATTGTAGCTTCCTCTAATACAGGGGTTCTCAAGCAGGCATCATCAAACTTATTTTTAAAATTGTATCATTGTCCTTTGTAATCCTTCGTATTTTTTTAAATGCATTAACACTTTTTTTTCTGAGAAGGGGACCATCAGCTTCACCAGACTACTAAAGAGTTTCATGACACACACACACAAAATTTTAAATCCATGTTCTAATCTGACCTGTTAAAGAGAAGGGATTTGCCCAATGTGTGCTAGGGGAGTCCTGGAGTTAATCTTTTTAGAATGAATACCTTCTAATTTATCTATTGTGTAAGTTCTCATTTAGGAATATTAGATTTATCTTTAAGTGGAGCATTTGCATATTATAAGCAGGAAAAAAAATCTATATTTTTATTCAATTTTACATTTTCACTTTTGTATGAAGTCAACATCCTACTTTGAAAAAATTTCTGGTCACAACTTTGGTGCCACGCAAATGATTCCAGAACGATTGATGACACATATAAAAATGTAAGGCAGAGATAAGTGTGTGTGTCCCTGGGCTTTACTAACTGGATGTTGTTCAGCTGGATATTAAAGGGTTAATACTCTTCAACTACCAGGGAGATACTTAGGCAGTGGGGAAATTAGCATCCCATCATTTTCCAAGCTGAGTTCTGGGAGAATATGTTTGTGATCTATTAAAATCATTCAATACACATCCAGGAACCAATCCACAACTACTGTAGGCTTACCCATTTCCAGTGAGTTTGGAGAAGCAGCGAATTTCCAGTTTTCCTAATACACAGTTCATTGGCATGACCTTTCCATGCTTCTCCACTTTAAGGGGATCCCTCAGGCCAGGTGCAAGTCATAAGAAGGAGATTGACGTTGACATCAATGTGGGCAAAGTGGAGCGGGTGAAATTCCTCTGGAACAACAATGTGATCAACCTCTTCCGGCCCACATTAGGTGCTTCAAAGGCCACAGTGCAAAGTGGTGAAGATGGAACACAGTATGTACATTCTGGATGTAATAATGATTAATATTTAAATTATACTTATTAATTTAAATTTTTATTGTTTATTAATTTAAATGTTTAAATTATATATTTTTTTCTTCACAACAACCCTGTGAGGTAGGCAATGCAATAATTGTTGGAGCCATTTTACGGATGAGGGAACTAAGATCCAGAGAGGTTGACTAATTTGCTCAGCTAGTTAGTAAATGACAGTCAGGATTCAAATTCATGTCTCTCCCAACTCAAGTTAACTCTTTGACCAAGGGTATTTGTCTGTTCTCCTGCCTTTGTTTTTTGGAAATCAAATGACAATTCACTAAGACCACGTGGCTCAACAGAAGCTGTTGATTAAAAGCGTAACAGATTAAAAAAGGAGCAGTGATGAGGCTAGACCAGCATGAAACACTGTCTGAAAGATTCTGTGGAAAATGTCTAGGAAATACCACTGGGAACTCAGTGACACCAGTTCTAGGTGCCGTGATAATATTATTATTCATTATTCAAATCTATTTGATGGGAAGGTGTGAAAGATCATAGCATTAGAGAATATGGTATGAGTTGGGAGCCTGGTCCTCAAAGTTCAAATTCTTCCTTTGAGAAAAGGCAATCCTCTCTGTGTTGACTTTAGAAAAACATAGAAGTTTGAGGAGAAAATAATGGGAACATAAAGAAAGTCCTGAGAAGGCAAAATAATTCATCATTCTCATTGAGGATAGATTTAGACCTAGAAGAGCCCTGAGAGTTCATCTAATCTGATTCTTTCACTTTTGTAGACGGGTAAATTGAGTCCTAAAGAAGATAGAACTGGCATAAGAATAGAATAGTTCAGGTCTCCTGACTCTGGATCTTTCCTGAGCAGAGTTTCTATGTTGACCAATTTTTTGTGCTCAACTACAGCTTTATTTATCAGTTCTTAGGCTAGTTTCCATGAGCTTGGTCAACCCTGGAGAAATATTCAAGGAACACTTCACTTGAGCAGCCCTCTGCTGGAGTGATAGGAAATATAGCATAGCCTAGTGTTTGGATTAGCTGGCAGCTTGCTGGCACTGTGGACAGAGCTCCCCACCTGCAGTTAGCAATACTCATCTTCCTGAGCCCAACTCTAGCCTCAGATGCACAGTTGTGTGACCTGGGTAAGTCACTTAACATTCTTTGCCTCGGTTCCTCATCTATAAAATGAGCTGGAGAAGGAAATAGCAAACCACTCCAGTGATTTTGCCAAGAAAACCCCAAATGGGGTCACAAGGAGTCGGACTTAAAAATGACTCAACAATAACAACAACAACAATGACAACGATGACAACAACAACAACAACAACAACAACAACAACAACAGATGGATAGGCAGCCTCAGAAACAAGACAACCTGAGTTCAAATCTTACATCTGACACATAATGGCTGTGTGACCCTGCACAATTCATGTAACTTCTCAGTATTCTAGTTCAGAGGAGTCAAACATGTGGCCACGTATAACTCTCCCTAGTGGGGCTCAAAACAGATTAAAATTTAATTGGGAAATATTTAACAACATAGATATGTTGTTGTTCAGTCATTTTCAGTAGTGTCTGACTCTTCATGACCCTATTTGACATTTTCTTGGTAAAGATACTAGAGTGGTTTGCCATTTCCTTCTCCAGCTCATTTTATGGATGAGTAAACTGAGGCAAACAGGGTTAGGTGACTTGCCCAGGGTCACACAGCTAGTAAGTATCTGAGGCCAGATTTGAACTCAGGAAGATGAGTCTCCCTTACTGCAGGCCTGGCACTCCATCCACTGTGCAATCTAGCTGCCCTCAACAAAATAGATAAGGTACAATAAAGCCCAGGATCATTGTGTACAAATTGAATTTGTCACCACAGCTCTAGGTAGCTTGCTAAGGCCATAAATTACAAAGAATGGGGGGGGGGAGTGCTACAATGGTGGAGAGAGTGTCTTCATCAAGGAATTCCTTATTCCAGTGAAGTCACATGCCCAGTTCCAATCTCAAACTTTTCACTGCACATAACTACTGACTTGAGACTGTACCTAAAACATGAAGTAGGAATTTTTTTCCTTCTTCATCAGTAATAGATGAGGCAGATACAAATTTAACAGACACCTGCAACTTCCAGTAGTGACAGTTGCCTGAATCACTGGGAAGAGTTTCCATACCAAGAATTGCTTCCATCAATGGAATCCCAGGTCTGAACCTCCCTCCCCCAACGTGGGAAGGATTAGGAAGACTTAAGCATGAGTTAACACAGATTTCAGAGAGAATGGGTTCTGAATGAATGGAGTTTTGTAATATATTACTTACTGGGAATGGGCCCATAGTCCTGGACTTGGAAGGGACCTCAGAGGCCATACAATTCAATCATCTCATTTTACAGAAGAGTGAAGGAGGGCCATGGGAAGCTGTGACTTACCCAAAGGCACTTAGTGATGGGCTTTGAACTGAGGTCTTTTGACTGCCCTCTAGCACTCCTGCCTCCTACATCCACAAAACACAAATGAGCCAAATCACATAACAAAAGCTGACTAGCCCAATAAATGAAATCGGCTGGAGTCGTACGCCACCCACTGATGTTTTCATTTTTACTTCCACAGGTATCATTTCTGTAGTAGTGATACTGTTCGAGAAGATGTTCTGCAAACACTCTCTCCTTGCTAGAAATGGATCCTGATGGTCTGATCATGGCAAAAATGCGCCCTCTTGCTTCATGTGATGTTGACATCTAACCTCTCACCATGATCTGGTTACTAGCCTGACTGGAAGCTTCCTGAGGGTAGCAGCCATCTCATCTAAACTCTATTATCTGTTTGTTGAGAAATGAATTAGTCTATTTGCTTTGTATATACTTGTTATTTGTGTACATGTTGTAGAATATAAGTTTCATGAGAGCACAAAGTGTTTCACTTTTGTCTTTGTATCTCTAGCGCCTAACACCATGGCTGGAACCCATAGCAGATGCTTAATAAATTCTGGCTAGACTGAATTGACCCAGACTTTGCACTGACGATGGCTAACACCTTTCAAGGTTCTTCTTCCTTTGCGATATCCCTTTAAGGACTATGCTTGTGTACTGAGTTTGCGCAGGTGACAACATGCAGCCTTGTGTGAAAAGGGCCTTATTGGACCCAAAAGCAACATGCACAAAACATGTAAAATTAACAAGAGATGGCCCCTAGTGAAACACGCCAGTAACACACCCAGCTATATGGAATTAATCATCTCAAATTTTAAAATGAATATTTCTGGTGGTGGATGCTGTCAAATATCAATATGCAACATCAGTTAGGGGCTTTTTTCATAATGCAGTATGGGCAGTGATGGGAAAACAATAACATGGCTGTAGCAGGAAGAAAACGCAACAAAAGGAGACAGACGGTGACCACAATAGATCCCAGAACCTTTCCCAAACCATTAGGAATTGAGGCTCGTTAAGCACTGTATAGTACTAAATGGAACAATAATAACCTGCAATTAAGAGGAATGGGCAAAGACAGTTCATTGGGGAAATTACTCTCAATGCCTACTTACTCATTGGCAAAATAAATAGAGGTTTTACACTGCCTATGACCTCACTCAGATCCTCAAAGCACCTTGTTTCAGTCCATGGTGATTTAAGAAATATTTTCTGCCAACCTGAGAATGTTTGTTTCTGACACAAACCCAGCTGCTAGGACAGATGATTGAAGAGCTTATGTGATGCTGGAAGATGAGCTGCAATGGGTGGTGGGGACATGTAGGTGGGGAGTGGAGGGTGCCTTGTTAATTCTTAAGGAGATCAGATGAAATTAAATTATACATATGTAAAACTCGGGCATGAACATGTAGGAAGATGAGGAAAACAGTTTCAAATAAGATATATGCTTTGCAAACTTTAAAACATTCCATCAACTTGAGCTATTGTTATCATTATCATCATTATTATTAGTCATATTAATATTACTTTTAACACCAAAATCAGACTTTAGTCCAAAAATACTTAGAACAGATGCTGGGCTATTCCTTTTCAGAGGCCAATGAGGCTAAATGTTTGCTCAGACCCCCACTTATCCTAATAAGATTTCTTAAGACATGGCTGCTAAGGCCATTGTTTCCAGGCCGATTCACTGATTCCCCAGCAATTTTGACCTGGCCTCTTCCCAAATTCATGAACAATACCCATCTTGTCATTTGAACTACGGAAGGGCAGCACTGTCCTTTCACCAATGAACACCTACTGAGTAAATGGGTTGCTTCAACAGAGGGGTTGTCATAGGGGAGGGGTATTGGGGAGGGCAGGAGTATTCAGCACTCCAAAGCAAAGCATGAATGGTCTCATTTGGTAGTTACCTTGAATGGAAAAGAATATAGAAGAATGTTGAAGTTAATTATGTGATGTGAGAGCTCTGTTGATCTGGTCACATGGAGATGGGAGTATATGTGTGAACAAACCCAATGTGCTTGCCTCTCTTAATTCCTGTTTTAAAGACTTTTACAGCTTACCTCCTTGAGGGTACAAGTATTAATATTCTCATTTCATAAATGAAGAAACTCAAGTTCAGAGAGGAGGTTGACTTGGTTAGTAAGTGGAGAAAATGGTCTTCTGGTTCCAAGTCTGCATTTCATACCAGTCTTTATATTTGAAATGGAAGCCAATTGTTCGGGTACTGTGGATCATTGTGGCCCATTCTGGTTGCCTGCATTTGTTTTATTGAATTTAAAAAAAGCTGACATGCACTTGCCCTGGTACAGACCCTGATTTTGATAATGTTCACGGAAGACTTTATTTCATTATTCAAGGATTCATGATTTCATCCAAGTGGAATTTGTTCAATTCATACAGGTTGTAGCTTCTCTACTACCTAGTAGACAGCATCATGAAATTGCTTTGACCAAAAGTTATTTATGTTCTTACCGCAGCTCTGACTTTGGATGGAGAGGAGCTAGTATGATCCCTATTTCACAAAGAGAGGGACACTTGGTCTTAGAGAAATGGAGAGAAGGAGTTGCTTGAGCTTGCATTGCTTGGAATTTTCATGTGGTTGGGAAGGATATAACACTAGAGTCCTCCAGGGGGAGGTAGTAACCTGCTGATGAGGCCACTGGGTCTGCATTATGAAGTCATATGTAATGCACAGCTGCCTATCCCAGGATGGGTTACTTTTCCAAAATACGACAACACTTCTGTGTTGGAATCCACACTCCAATTTTTTTTCCTGGGGCAGATTCTCGTGGGGCCTGAGGCAGAGCTTCTCTCCCACTTTGTCTGTTCACTAGATGGTCTGTGACCTAGAGAATGTTGGGAATTCTTCTGTGATGTTATTGTCCTGGCATCCACTCCCACCTTACCTCCATGTCTTAGAATATTTTGTTTCCTTCAAAATTCTGTTCAAGAGACACCTCCTCTATCTATCCTTTCCTGATCTTCCAAATTGTTAGTGCACTCAGACTCACCCCCCCCACAAATTTATCTTTGTTTTGTAATTTTCATATACTTGCGGTACATGTTTTCTTCCCTCTCCCCCCCCCCCCACTCCATAGAAGGCAAGCTACTTCAGTACAGGAAATGTTTCATTTCTGTCTTTGCATCCCCAGCACCAGGCACAGTGCCTGTCTGACATTCAGTAAGTGCTTAATAAATGCTTCTTGATCTTTTGACCAATTGATCTATCTCCATAGACAGAATTTCTTGCACTAGGGGACTTTGTTGTTGTCGTTGCTCGTTTTTCTGTACAGAGCATTGGTTGTCACTGAGCCTTCAAGTTCCTTGTGTCTGTCTCACCTGGTCCCCTCGTCACCAAAGGTATGAATTAGAAGAAGCAGCAGCATCTGGCAGCCAGACAGGTTGTTGTTGAGGTGGTGGTTTGGTAGATGTAAAGTTAGACCAGCCCAGATGGGAACTGAACCTTTAACCTTGGCCTCATTAGCACCGGCTGCTGGAGCCAACTGCTGTAACAATGATTTGGACAGCTGTATTTATTAGCATTATCCTTCATCATGGTCACCTCAGCAAGCCATATAATTTCAACAACTTACCCCCACTGAATCAAGATGTTAAAATTAACAATAGAAAATAAAAATCCACTTCTAATAAACTGAACCTAGGACAGTCTTTACCTTGTCTTGGGAACCTCGAAGGGAGGGGTGGGAGGGTGAACAAATGAATGCTTTACAAAGCGATTTCAGAAAAATGGGATGTTAAATGAACAACAAATGACTTTCCCTTTTACTCGCTTTTAATGCTAATGGTGCTATTTATTCTTGACCTTCAGAAAGAGGAGAGTTTTAAAATGACAAAATAAAAAGACTTCTTGTTTGGAAACGCAAGCTACTTTAGACCGCATATGATTACTTATAAGTATAGCATGTGCACATATCATTCATTGCAGCTCCCCATTTAAAGCTAATTGGTATGTATTTCAGCTGACATATATTGTTCTCTTGCATATGCGTCAAATTCCTTAACAATGTCTCTGACAAAAGCATAGTGTTGGGGATATATAAATTATGTTGGCTACCATATAATCAGTGTTATCTATTAGAATGCTATTTGGGACAAATCATGTTCAAAACATATATTGAAATGATTTTCCTGCTATTTTAATATCAGGCCGCTTGCCACAAACCTTTGATTGAATTTTAAACACTTCAACGTTCTATTTCTGTGACATATCTGAAGTGGGGTCTGTATTATTCCAAAAGCTCAGTTTATAAAACAAACTCGAATTTCCCAATGCATCTTAGAAAGTAAATTTGCTAAAGCTCTCCTTACTAAGAGCATAATGCAATGACAAATGTTCCATGTTCCTGTCTAATTACTATACTTACCTTTTTCTTTTTTCTTTTTTTTTTAGTGAATTAGGTTGACTTTAATGCAAGAAACATTTATTGTTCTTGAGTTGCATCCAACTCTTCATGACCCCATTTTGAGTTTTCTTGGCAGATACTAGAGTAGTTTGCCATTTCCTTCTCTAGCTCATTTTATAGATGAGGAAACTGAGGCAAACAAGGTTAAGTGATTTATCCAGGGTCACCTAGCAAGTAACTGTCTAAGGTCAGATTTGAACTGAGAAAGATTGGTCTTCCTGACTTCAGGCCTAGGTTAGTCCATCCACTGAGCAACCTAGCAGTCTGCAGGGAACATTGCTTAGGGCTTTTGTATCTTCATTCTAGTACTATTTTAAGAGGGTTTTTTCCCCCTTCTAGAGTGAGATCATTAGTTTCCATCCTTTAGCTGTTAAAGACGATTTCTGTTAAACTGATTTGGAGAATGCCAGCGCTGTTTTCAACAAGGTAGTCATGATGCCTCCAAGTTTTTACTAGAGCATATATGGTTACTCTTTTCAGGTAAATAGTGACTTTCCAAATGTATCACCTGGAGAAAACACAGCAAATCTCTGTTGTTTTCATGCTATGGTTTCTTATCCTGGTGATTCTTAAATTTGTATACCTTTAACTGTTGCCTAAATTACCCAGCCCATAGACACATATAGAATTAGGACCCTGAGTACCCAGCCTAGAGACAGGTGCACAGGACCAAGACTCAGAGTCAGCCAACACAAAGACACAAAACATTGGGTCTCTCCAAGTAATACACAGAGTCCCACTGCTGGAGCCATGAAAATCCAACATGCATACATGAAGAACTGGGAATCTGAGTAATCCAATGTATAGAGACACACACAGAATTGAGACCTTGAATTATCCAGCACAAAGGATTGGAATCCTCAGTCATCCCACAGACCATACAGGCAGTCAAGATTGAAACCCTGAGTTATCCAACACAGAGAACTAAGACGCAGACCTAGCTAGTTACATTCAGAAATCTGGGACCAGGGGTATGTGGGAGCCAGCTCATGCTGGTTAATAGGAGTCAATTGTTAAATTTCCAGTATGAGCATATATGTCTCAGAAACATGCAAACTCTATAAATCAGGGCTTGGTTTATTGTTTTACTGATTATTTAGACT